AATACTGCTTCCATATTTTGCGATGATTATCTGCGGGGTTTTTGCCCTCTTTGATCAAAAACCGGATTTCTGAGCGCTGCTCTTCCCTGGCGCACGCATTCAAGGTCGACGACCATGTTTAAAGTGTTGGGGTCTCGTTACATTTTCCAGCAGAACGCTGTGGCGGCGTGCAGAGCCTATATAAATAAAGGGTCAAGCAATATGTGAAGCACAGCAGTCAATTTTTAGATTTTGATTTTGTATAACTGAAGTGCGGTTACTTTGGGGTCTGGCGTGTATTTATATCATCCTTGTTATTGCGGCCTACAAGGTGCAGCTGCCTTAAAGCCCGCTTACTTGCGTTTGACAACCACGGACTGAGACAGGACCGGTTTTTAGACCTCTTGTGGAGGCTTACGACTGGCTGCGCAGCAATGCAAGCGATCATGTAAGCCGTCAAAAGAGGATTAAAAACCGGTCTGCTCTCAATCAGTCTATAGTCAATCGCAAGTGGGTGAACGAGCCTTCACTATTCATTAACCTCTCGGGAGCATCTCTTGATTCTTGTAGTGTAATTTCACGAAACGCCTTTTTATATACGGTAAGTTGAGTGCTATCGTGCTGATGAACAGCCTTCGCCATTTTCCCTCATAGTTTGGATGCAGGCGATCCGTTGCTGGCGTCGCTTTAGCTGAGGGTGGTAACGCACAAGCATGATGAGTTACTCCATCAATGACCGAACTCAACATGTACGATCGGAAATGCATTTGATTTCCATAAACCCAGACTTACTCCACTCTGTTTTCCTTCGGAGCCGTGGTGACGGCGTTCGTCGTGGCCATTTTGGCCGCCGACGTGCCGTCTGCTCAATCGTCAAATCGTCTCAACTCTGAACAAAAGTCGACATGTAGAAATATTGAGTACATAGGGCGATGATTCTACATGTCGCCTATTAGTCCCGCAAGTGCAGCGAACCACAACGCTAGAGATAAAGAACCCAAGCGGGTTAAAAAAAGAAAAAAACACTGTCTGCGCTGATACAGACAAATAGGGCGAACGTTTCCGACATCAATTCCGGCAAGATCCTAAGCTGGAAATAGGAGTAAATACTAGGGGTGATACTTACGTTTTGCCTCCTAGGCTGGGGCGTTTTTATTCAGTGATGGAATTGAAAGACGCTACATTCGAATTGAAGTGTGGATTTTCCTCTTTCTCGGGATCACATTACTTTTTAATAGAGTTACCACCGGCGATGAAGCACTTCCGCTACCGGTGCACTACTCTCCGCATGCCGTCATAAATGACCAAGGGCGGCTGTTGGTCACAGATGCAGAGTGCCGTTGGTGACACCAACGGCACTCTGCATCTGTAAGCTCGTCGTCGTACGCAAGCCGTGTGTCTTTTAGATGCTCCTTTATTTTTGAAAACAGCCAAAAGTCTAATAAAACGAGGTCCAGGCTGTAAGGCGAATGAGGCAAAATATCTGACAGTTGCAGCTTCAGGGCGGCGATGGTCTCGCCAACAGCCGCCCTCGCTCATCTACGACGGCATCCGGAAGAGCATTGCAGCCGGTTGGGATTATGCACTCATGGAAAAAGGTAGATTCCAAACTTTCATTTGAATGTGTGATCTTCCAATTTCATCACTGAATAAAAAGGTTACAGCCTGGGGCACAAAACTTATTGATCACACCTCGTATCACTTGAAACCGCCCTAGAGGGAGCGTAAGTTCGTCTGCGACTTGCACAGGGGTGGCGATAATGTCAGAACGACGAGCTCTTGTTGGATGATTAAAAAACGTTGTGGGTAAAGCTTAACGCAACAAGCATTGACGTCTACCCACTCTCTTTTTATTCAGAGCCAATCAGAACTCGGAGTAATTCTGATGCCACCTCAACCCGTGCTCAAAAAGCAGACGACCTGCTATTCGCATTGAATGCACTCATATTCTTATAGACGTTGACTGAATAAATGCTTCGGTGGCATTTGTACACATTGGCAGGAACAGTTGTTAATGTCTAAACACACCTTAATTTGTTTTTCGGGAGATCATTTCTTTTTTTTTTTTAAATGTCCACAGTATCAATCCCAAAACTGCCACCAGAAAAAAGTGTGTTAGAACCTGGAGTTCTGATACTGAGGTGTACACGTCAGGGAATTGCGAAGTGGAAGCACACCGACCATCTGTACTGCACTTGCTCTGTAAATACACGGTCAACCCAAGTTGAATGGTGGTAACCAGTTGGCAATCAATTGCCTTTCTAACTTAGCCTCGCCAGAGAGCTGCGAGATTTCAGGAAAATGAGCCCCCTAGCCCCCTCGCCGTTCTAAATCTTGCGTATGCTCGATGAGATTCATGTCAAGGTCACTTTTGACTCTATTAGCATTATTCAAAATGTATATAATGTCGCATTGGAGTTCGTGAACTATAATTTTTCTTATTCTTTTTTTTTTCTGCTAAGTGTTGCAACCAGACGCTTGGGTTCAGTCACAGCACAATTTTGACTTTTTTGTCCTAGCTCCTCAGGCTTTTTTCGTCTGCAATCAAAAATTCAATTATTTATTCATTCATATCATTTAGCAATTAAATAACTAGAACGGGTAATATCTCTTTTTGTTTAAAGGTACCCTTTTAAATACAAGACAGCGCACTCTAAAAAAAGATATCATTGCGACGTTTTACCCATGCCTCGTTCCCTTTTCAATAGGAATGGCAGTTTTCACGTTGGGCAAACCTTAAATTGTAGTCCCCACTAATATGAAAAACACATTCGGAGGGCGTTGTCAAGACAGTGTCTGGGGGGGGGGGGGGGGCGTGCGTGCGCTCTGTACGGTTCCATTTGGTTTCAAGTGGGAGCTAAACTTGATGAATCATGCGACCGCAAGATACCACCCTCAAATCTCGCATAATAATTAATTGTTTCTGTACTTACATGTGTATTAATTTGAGCTTTTATTTACACTCAGCACCTTATAACCCGTTTTGGTTTATAGCTTACACTAATAAAATGGCAAGCACGCTTGACCATCGACTGGGCAGCAAAATGTACGTAGCGTTTTATTTTGGGTCCCAAAATTTTTATTTTGTCTTATTTTGGGTCACAAGTCACAAACATTCTGACTTTCGTCACGAGCACATGCGCACACCCGTATTAAAAACTAAAAACAATCTACCTACAACTGAATGCACACTCACTGTATACCAAGATTATGGTGTAATATATATACTATAGGTGTCGACACACACCACGGCGAACGCTGCGACGCGATCGACCAGATAAACTCCTATTGGTGAGCGCCCCAGTAGCTGTTTCCCGTAGCGTCTCCGCCCGGCCAGGCGGCGCAACTAAGGAAAAAAAAGTATCTCTTTGTTGTGACACCACTGCGCATGCGTTTTCCGCTCGGCGTGTCTGCTCTGACCTTGGCGAACGCTGGCTTGAACACCGCTCAAGAAATATCTCGGCTTCAAATTGCTCTTAAAACTGTTTTTGGCGCCGTCCAAGAAAGTCAATAACGAAGCTGTGCCTAAACAACACACGTAACGCAACTTCTAAGTTTTACATGTCGTGTCACACTCAGAAAATGACCTTAAAATCGAACGTGCCTCACATAGACAAGCCCAGGAAACCTGGTCCGCGACAGGCCATGGAAGCGTCATCTGGTGACGCCGGCTACAAACAAGGCGAGGAGAGGATTTTATCCGGCAGGCTGCTCCGTGCGTGGTGGTCACACCTATATACCGGGTGCTTACGCGAATCCTTTAAAGAAATCGTACTCATAGGGTGTTTAAAGCAACAAAGAAACTGTTTTCGAGAACGAACTGCCAGCCACAGCGGACGTCAGGAATCTCCAGAAACACTTATTTACAAAATAATTACCCGACATTTCCTAATTACCTTTTAATGGGCGTGTCACGAGGCTCGTTTGTTCATGTTAAATTAAGATAATAACATTATCAAAAAGGGACCAAACAGAATTTAGCAATTTGTAATCATAAAAAAATAAGCTAATCATAAAACATAAAGTAAGATAAATAAAAACAAAATGTTTACAGCAGAAGCGTGAGTGTTCAGTTGTGTTTCTTACGGAGCAGATGTTTCTGTGTACACATCAGTCTTCCTGTTTCCGTGTGCAGGAGAAATTAAGGTGCAACATTAAATGACCTGGGTTCCTCGTGCGACTTCAATCCGAACGAAGTTCACATTGCCGGGCGGTTCTGCGGGCGACTCTCGGGTTTTCCCCGAACGGAGGTCTCTCTGGTCCGCGGCCTTGAAAACTGATTTGGTCCGGCGGGTTCCTGGTTGCCAGCGGCTTGAAATCCAGTCCTGGTTCGAGCCGTTCACTCGAACGCCCTGGCCTGGCTGTCAGTCGCTGACTGTCCCTCCCCGAATCTCTCGCGCCGTTCTCGTCGTGCTTCTTGCGTCGCCTTCTTTTCTTTTTTTTCCATTCAACATGAAGATTGCAACAGGGTGAAGCTAAACATTTAGTTACAATTAAGAACTTGATGAGCGTAATAAAAAATCACTAAATTAGTTTATTCTAGGGAGACGAAGCTTGAGGGTGAGTTCGAGTTTCCACTCATGCTGCAGGCGGAAAGCTGGCGATGTGAGGACGCAGATTAAAGGGGCATCCGAGTTTTCGCATCGCCTGCTGCACCAGTGGAAACTTTATCGCACCCCAGTACTTTGCACGTGCTTCAAATCCTCTTAACATTCACTGATTTGGGAGTTTGCACTGACACTCGGCAAGTTATTATTTGTAACCCTACGTTTATTCTCGCGAATTGATAGGTTAATTAGTAAAAAAATATGTAATTCTTTTGCTAGTTAGTGTGCTTTGCGGCAATCTCTGACATTCGCCGTGGCTAGCAGCTTGTTGCCGAAAAAGTTAGTATTTTTCTCAAACACCCTATATTTATAGAAATGTTAGGAAGTATTCCGAGGAGCACAGGCTGTATCTTACATCGTGACCCAGGCACAGAGTCACGAGTCAACCGTTCACCAGACCTGATCAACGTCATATCACCACTCCAGAGACGTGTCCTTCGTGTCTTCCCACGTTGGACTTTTGCTGCTGTAAAACTGGGAGTACCATCTGCGGAAAGCAACGATGAACCGGTCCTCCGGCACAAGAACGGGCTTTTTGTGGTACTTTTTCTTGTTCCAAACTATGATGTCTCGATCGAGCTGTTCAAAAAAACAAAAAACAAGTCAAGGTGTGTGAATTTGTATCATTGCTTTATGCAGAAGCTTCAGTCTTATCAACGGAAATATATTTTCTCCTATACATATTTTTTACAGCAATGTGAATCGCCCCTGTATCACGACAGCTGGGCTGAACGTTTCTGTTGGTTGTGATCATGTGACAGCAAATAAAATTTATTTTATTATATTTTATTCATTTTTATTTTATTTGAGCTGTTGCACGTTTGGTTTTTCGGAGCATCCTGTTCACCAATAACTCGACTAAATATAAAATAACGGTTTCGACACGGCCTTCGCAGATCACATCAGCAAGGATCTTTGGTCGTAATGACCAAGGTCAGGTATACATATTTTAGCTAGGTTTATAGCTATGTCGTGTCTTTAATTGTATATATTTCAAATGTCTATAAAACTCCGTGCTTCAAATACATTATTTTAAAATGCGTACTCCAATTACTTACGGTATGTATATTGTTGCTACGTTTAGACTTATTTCGTGTCTTTAACTGTTTATATTTGAAATGTTTAGACAACTTCGCAAATCAAACATATTCGTTACAAATGCGCATTCCAATTACTTGCGCTATGTATATTTGTTATGCGTTTATACTTATTTCGTGACTTTAACTGTATATATTTGAGACGTCTAGGTAACTTCGCGATTCAAATGCCTTTCATTTATTTGCACATACTGCTAACATCTTTTTAGAGGTTCTTGCAGGAGTGGTTAAAAAGTTATTTACACAAGAAGTTGTCAAAAAACAGAAAGACGTGCAAATTCTCGGTAGAAATATACGCTAAAGTGTAACAATAACCCTTTCCCCAAGCAACTTTCCAAACCATTTAGAAATAAATCAGCTGATGGCAAATTTACATATGCTTCAGAAAGTCTATTCCATCCCTGGATGTGGTACGTGGAAAAAACTAAACTTTAAAAGAGTTACTTTGACACAGAAAGTGAACAAAAGCCCTATTATGAATACCTTTCGTGGCGCGAAATAGTGGAGGAGTTAAATTATATATAGTGTCTATGTTTAAGTCATCGTCTAACATACGGTATAAAATTTTAGTCTCGCTCTTCGACGCCTTGTCGATAAAAAATCAAGTTGAGCGATTTCGTAAAGTGGGGCAAAATATTCGTTCATTTTGCATTAGTTGTATATGTAATCCGAATCTCTGCACCTTCTTACGTTTGTCAGTTTGTAGCTCTATACAAACCCGAAACTTGGGAAGCATATTCTAGGACAGGTTTTACACGAGTCTGATATGCAGTGAGCTTTACATCCGAAGGACAGTGCTTCGAATTACGCTTCATGTACCAAAGTTTCCAGTAAGATTTGCGAACAACATAGTCAACGTGTACGTTCCATCTTAAACCAGCCGAAAAAAAAACACCCTAGGTATTTTTGCATTGCGATGCTTTGCAGAGATTTATCATTAACTTACTGACAGAAAACAAGTGGCTAAACGTTTCTAGAGAAGGTCATTGTTACAATCTCTATCTGGCTGCTAGCGCTACCAGATTTCATAGCGGTAGTCGTCGGTTACCTCGATTGCCATCACGAGACATTAAAACACTTCTTCTTCAGTTCCTGAAGCGAAAGGAACGACGGCGTCATGTTTCTGCTTAGCCGGCCACGTCCTGCCGGCCGTGCGGTCTATCCCCGCTTGTAACAATTGGCGACGAGGGAAAAAGACTTCGTTCAAGTTCTTCGAACGTCGCAAGTTCGCGACGTGCAAGTTCGCGAGCACCAGGCATTCTTCAAGCTTCTCAGCTCGCCATGCCCACGTTCGGCAGAATTGAACCTTTTGAGGGAGAAAGTGGGGAGTGGCCGTCATACGTCGAACGTCTTGAAGCTTTTTTTTCTGCGAACGACGTTGACGATACCAAGAAGAAGGACATTTTCTTCAGCTGTTGCGGCGCGAAGACCTACTCCCGACTGCGAGACCTGGTGAAGCCCGCCAAACCACAAGATAAGTCTTTAGACGAGGTTCTTGACGTTCTCGGGAGTCACTACTGCCCCAAGCCTTCTGCTGTCGTTCAACGGTTTCGTTTCAATTCGCGTGTTCGCGCGGAAGGGGAGACCGTAAGCAAGTTTGTTGCAGCATTGAAGAGCCTGTCGGAGCACTGCAATTTTGGAACAGAACTAGGGAACATGCTGAGAGACCGCATAGTCTGCGGAATAAGCAGCGTTACAATTCAGACCAGACTTCTGGAGCAGCCGGACCTCACGTTCGAGGATGCCGTGAAGACCGCCTTGGCCATGGAAGCAGCGAAGAAGGACGCCGGAGAGATTTGCCAGGCAAGCTCGAGCACCAATGCGTTCACGACTCACCGCGTCACGACACCGGCGGGAGACGTCACCTGCTACCGCTGCGGAGATGGACACCTTGCGTCCAGCTGCAAGCATGTGAATACTACGTGCAACTACTGCCGGAAGCGGGGACACCTGTCGAAGGTGTTTAATTCAAAACAGAAGGACGCTCCGTCGTCCAAGAACAAACCTGCGAAGCATCGTTCTTCAGGGCCAGGACGCAAGTCCCGTCTTCCTCATACACTTCCAATGAATGTCCTGGATGACAACACTGAAGATAGCGGGGTGACATCGTCCGAGGTTTTTGACATGTGGCCGGTTGACAACTCCGTGCCGTCACCGCCTTTCACCGTCACTGTCAACGTCTGCGGCAAGCCACTGTGCATGGAGATGGATACGGGAGCGACTGTCTCCGTCATGTCAAAAAAACGGTTTCAGGAGTTACTTCCAGCCGTACCTGTCAAGCCATCTATGGTGCTGTTGCGAAGTTATTCCGGGGAACTGACTCCGGTCCAAGGAAAAATTGATGCAAGAGTACAGTTCCAAGACAAGGAGGCGGTTTTACCTCTCTTCCTTACTGGAGATGGTTCCCCTACACTGCTTGGACGCAATTGGATTCGAGAACTGGGAATCAATTTCTCGGAGGTGGAGGCAACCGTTCATTCTCTTTCTGATGTGAAAACTCTGGTTCACGAGTTTTCGGAAGTCTTCGAGGAAAGCCTTGGTACCTTCAAGGGCAGGGAAGCCACTATTCATGTTCCACAAGATGCTCCTACGAAGTTCTTCAAGCCACGTCCGCTACCTTTTGCCTTGAAGGATGGCGTTACACAAGAGCTCCAGCGCCTACAAAGAGAGGGTGTAATTGTACCAGTAAAGACTTCAACCTGGGCTGCGCCCATTGTTCCTGTGGCCAAGAAGGATGGCCGTGTGAGGATTTGCGGTGACTTCAAAGTTACCGTAAATCCAGTGGCAACATTGGAGAAGTACCCCATTCCAAGGATCGAAGACCTGTGGGCCACGCTTTCCGGGGGCGAGAAGTTCACAAAGTTAGATTTGAGAGATGCCTACCAGCAAGTAGTTCTCGAGCAAGACTCCAGGAAGTATGTGACCATTTCGACACACATGGGTTTGTTTCAGTACACCCGTCTTCCATTCGGGGTTTCGTCGGCTCCAGCTATCTTCCAGCGGGAGATGGAGAACTTGTTCCGAGGACTGCCACACGTTGCTGTGTACTTTGATGACATTCTTGTCACTGGCACGTCCGACTCAGATCACCTTCACAATCTTCGTTATGTTCTCGTTCGCCTTCGGGACGTTGGACTCAGGCTGAGATCCGACAAGTGCCTCTTCTTCTTGCCTCAGGTAGAATACCTTGGGCATATCATCAGCAAGGAAGGACTGTCGCCAGGTCTCGGCAAGGTGGCAGCTGTCCTACATGCCCCGGCACCACGAAATGTCAAGGAACTTCAAAGTTTTTTAGGCTTAATCAACTTCTTCCGACGATTCCTTCCTAACCTGTCTGGACGTCTTCGTCCACTGCACTTGCTTCTCACTGACGGGAAGAAGTGGGAGTGGGGAAAAGACCAAGAGGAAGCTTTCACGTCAAGCAAGCACCTCTTCACCTTAGCTCCGGTTCTCGCTCATTTCAACCCAGAGAAGCCTGTGTGTCTCAGTTCCGATGCCTCACCGTACGGGATTGGCGCCGTCTTGGCACACCGGGAAGCCGATGGTCAAGAACGACCCATCGCCTTCGCATCCAGAAGCTTGTCCCGAGCCGAACAAAACTACAGCCAGCTCGACAAAGAGGCATTAGCTTTGGTGTACGGTGTTGAGCAGTTCCACCAGTACCTGTGGGGAAACCCGTTCCAAGCCTTCACAGACCACAAGCCTCTACTTGGATTGCTGAGTCCTGACAAGCCGATTCCAGTCCACGCTTCGCCTCGACTCATTAGGTGGGCTCTCAAGCTTTCTGCTTACAAGTACCAACTTCTCTACAAACCGGGGAAAGACTTGGGACACGCGGACGCACTCAGTAGACTGCCAGTGACGACAAACAGTGTTTCAGAACCTGTGCCAGCTGAAATCTTTATGCTCGAAGAGGCTTACCCCAGTCTTCTGTCACCTGCTGTAGTGGCTCAAGCAACGAAGAATGACCCGTTTCTGGGTAACGCTATGCTTGCTGTCCTGAGAGGAGAGGGCATTACATTGGGACCAGAAGGGAACCCATTCAGCGCAAGGAGTACTGAGCTAAGCCTTCATGACGGATGTTTGCTCTGGGGAGCACGAGTGGTAGTCCCACAAGTGTTGCAAGATCGAGTCCTGAAGCTTCTTCATGCAGGCCATCCCGGCATTGAGAAAAGCAAAATGGTCGCCAGAAGCCACGTCTGGTGGCCGGGTATTGACAATGATATTGCCAAAAACGTGAAGAGCTGCACAGTTTGCCAAGCTCATCAACGGGCTCCACAGCCGGTTCAGCAGACACCCTGGCTTTTTCCACAAAAGCCCTGGTCAAGGCTTCACATTGACTTTGGAGGCCCATCCATGGGGCGAACCTTCCTAGTCATTGTGGATGCATTCTCAAAGTGGGTAGAAGTTTTCCCCGTGCCATCCACCTCGACAGAAGCTACTATCACAGCTTTGCGAGTAGCATTTGCCCAGCATGGACTG